TCTCACGTTTTTGTTGCTGAATATGTTACTGTACCATAACCTTACTATATTTCGCTATCGTCTCTTAGGCAATTCCCTATCATATATCTGCCCACCACATGACGCGCATTCCTATGCCCAAGGTCCTGTAGGGTTGGCTGATACATTTAAACGTTCCCCGCGGCACTGTCGTCACTCGCTTTGTGATTATGCCAAGGTAAAAATCGATGCATGCGACTGGACCAGCGAGGCTGAGGAATGGGTAAAGAATCTTCAGATAATATGAGAGCAGGATATTCGTCGAGATTCCCTCCTGACTCCAATCAAAGGCCATTCCAAACTATTGTAGTCAGAAACATTCACCAACTCTTCATCTTGATTCAACACGGCTGAGAAAAATGCATTCAAGGTCTCGATGGCGAAATGAATATATTCCCTTTGTTCTGCTATTTCTTCTCCTGACAAGGCAATCCATTCGATTCCATCAACGTAAGCCTTCTAATAGAAAAATCCCATGTCATCCTCTTCGAGCAATCGTTGAAGCCTGCAGCGACATTCATCCCATACAGGAGCATCCCGCTGAATCCGGACTTGCGACAGAATATTCCACTTGATTTGCATTTTGCGATATTCGTCAATAAAGTCTGAATTGCCAACAGTAAGGATAGAGTACACGACGAAGAGGTTATCAGGCTCGTGGAGATACCCGATGTATTCTTGTTCTACCAAAGGATCAGGACAGGATTTCGAGGAGTGTCCAAATGGAGAGATATAGCCTTTAATGATGTCCACCACCCACGACCGATATCCATGATGTCTGAAATGCTCCAAGCCTCTGGCGGTACGAAAGACACTGTACGTTGCCGGGTTGCCTTTACAAAGACCCTCGGCTATGATTCTAGCTACCTTCCTAGAAACATAGGTTTCGCCGTTGTAATGATCAAACATGAGATTGACTACCCCTTCCAAAGATCTGGGCGACATAGTATGCCATAGCATAGGAACCACATTGGCGTAAATCCTCAAGGCTTCGAAGTGCAGGTAAGCATCTTCTGTGATAGGGATAAATTTCAGGGTATTCGTGATGAAGCGATCGAGGACATCAAAGAGCATTTGCCTCAGAAGGCCGAAATGGAATAAAATACTATGAGAAGGGCTTGGAATTCCACTGCTGCAGGATCTTCTCCTTTCAAGGGAAGCCTGGAGGTAAGAAATTCGGCAAGCACCAGAAGAACCCTCAGTGACGGTGAGATAGACTAAGTGTTTAAAGGGGACACAAATACGGCAAACATTTCCAAGATAAAGGTTATTATGTCAGTAGATAGATATTGGGGGATAGCTGCAGGGAGTGTCATGGGTGTACTATTTGATTGGGCCATGTTGTCTGTGGAGTCGAATTCGTCGTATAAATGTGGCCAAAATGTGTAAAGAACTGTACAGCATATATCTATTGCGAAAGGATCTTTAGTGCTGATATCAATGGGAGAGAAGACGTCGTTCAAAGCTGCATTCGTGATGAGGTCGATCCAGACGAATGGATGGAAACACCAATATTTATCCTTGGAGGACCCAGGCAATGCCATAGCTCCGTTGTGGGCAACCTCTCTCATAAACAGATTTATACCACGATAATCTCTATATTTTTCTATCGAAGCTGTAACACTGGGTGAAATTCAACACCTGGTGTCTGTGCGAGGTCGATGGGAATAGAGAGATCACCAGAGACAACTAGCTTGCAGGGCAGTAACTGCTCAAGCTTGGTCTCAGCTCCAGGCAGTGGTGTCTCGATAGTCATCTGAGAGCCTAGAAGTACACCGTGTAGACAATTGCCATATCACCAAGCCTATATCACCAAACAGCCCTTCAGCCTTGCTCTGCAACGCTGGATCCAAACCGCCGATAGCTTGGACGACAATACTCTGGACAGTGGGGTTTGACGACATGGAAAAAAGCCAATGCAAGGCCTCAACCGATAATTCACCCCATACTGACTATACCATGTCTGACTCTAATTCTTTCAAGTCCTTCCATTTTGTAACGTCGGAGGCAGACTCGCTAGCCACTGACAGGCATATTCGTCCCATACCGACGGAGACGGTGCCAGAGAGTATGCACGGTGTACTGCACTGCATGACTGTACAAGACATGGAGCAGGTCACACAGTGAGGTTCGGTAGGGACATTAGAAAAAAAAATGAGGGGAGAATATGTGCCATCAAGTAGGCCGTATACGCGGCGGCCGTGATCGTGCCAACAACCCAAGCAAGGGAATCTCGTAGTGGACCAAGGAAGATCACGAGGCCAACAAAGAAGATGGCAAGGGCAGTGTGCATCAAAACGGGGAGTAGACCGATGATAATGAGAACGTGCCACTTCTGCAGTCCACCAAATCGGAATTGCCGCAGAAGGCTACGCTCGCGGGGTGTTCCAGATGGTAAAGCCATGAACTAGTGGAGCCATTGCTTGACCAGCACCGACACCAGTGCTGTCGTGAGCTGAGCGCAAGACTGGTGAACCAGAGGCCGTTCACCCAGACGCTCGTGGTTGAAGCAATAAACGTGATGTTAGTGTTGAGAGAAGAGGTAGTGACGGTGTCCAAGAAAGCGCCACTGGCAATAGCGCGCTGAATATTGATCATTTCGAAGAGTAGATTAGCAGACATTTCTGTGAAGTCGGCTTGTAAGCTCTGCGAAGTTTGGACAACAAAAGTTGTAACCACGGCTGAGAACAGACCCGCTTAGTACAGAGAGATGAGCATGGGGAAGGATAAAACATGGGTGACGTCGAGAAGAACATCAACACCATCTCTCGCCCCTTCGACCATATTCGCATCATATATCGCGGGCTCGTCGAGGTACGTCCGAAATACCCTAGCGTTGGGTCCCATCTCTTCACAGTACGCATCTTCAAAATACTTTTCTTCGTAGTTGAAAGGATCGTTGCCTGATAAGTATGAGATGATAGGATTTCATCAGCACATGAGTGTGATTTACCTTTGGGAGGCTGGTAAGGAGCAGATCCTCGCAATCCAAACCTCTTGCTCGACTTCGCAGGATGAACGTACTCAGGATACGGTTGGGCTGTAGTGTCGTTCTCTTCTTCCTCGACAGCGCCACCTGGCGAGGTTTCGGGTCTTGAGCCCTTCACCGTTTTAGCTTCGATGGTTGTGGGTACGACGTCGCTGACAAGGACATCAGAATCTGTGGACATTGTGGTAAGAAGCAAGGTCCAACAGAGTTATCACACATCTCCATACAGCATCAAGGCACCAACAGTAGAACGGAAACGGATTCTTCCACGGCCAAAGCGCGTATCCGGATTAGATCGAGAGGGACTTACTACCCTCCGCGGTCTAATGACACCCAATTTCTGCCCTTGTCCTTGCTTGTCTTGCGTTGGAAGAGTTGGCTGGACCCGAATAAAGATTTATTACTTTGGCGCAACAAGATCTCCCACGAGAAAAAAGTGAATATCGTGGAAGGTATGAGGCATTATAGTCGATGCAGAGAGATTGATGACCTCGCACTATGAGCACATTCGAACAGCTCTCATCCTCGCCAGTTCTCTAGTTAGTAAGCCCGTGGCTAAATGCTATTTTAGCTTTAAAGTCGGAAGCAAGGTTTATGTTTAATTTTTTGACACTGGATAGGGTGTGGTTTCGGTGGGCAACACTTGGATTCTGCGGCTCGATTCGAGTTTTCTGTAACCCCTAGGGTTTCTGAAATCTGTTAAATACTTATCAATGTTGTAACACGGGAACAGAAGTGCTCCAATTTTCTCGCTGTTTTTGGAGCCGAAGCTTCACTTACGGGTACTGTTCTTTCTGATCTCGTTTCTCTCTTCATTTCAAGCGAGGTCTATAGCGCCATGAAAGCCACGGCAACGTTTTGGCTCGAGCCTTGAAGTCAAGTACTTGGACTTGTGTTTACATCTTGAGAATCTTCTCGAACGCCTCTACATTGCAATGATTTGGTCGGTACGAGTACTTGGATTGATATTTTCATACACTGCACCAAAGAAAGTGATGAGCTATAGGATTGAACGCATAACGGGGAACAACCTCGCCCTTCCGGTGTACAAGTCTAAATCACCGCCTCGGTAGAAATGCCGCCCTAACCAATCCTCTTATCCTCCACTCCCACGCAACCAGATTCACCCTGCGCGTCACCTCGATGCGTATCGAGTCTTTCGAGTGAAGTATACAGTGCAAGTACGCAAAAACGAGAGCATCGAGTGGTGTTGGAGCCCTACCTCGCGTCAATACCACAGAAGGAATAAACACAGGAAACATACTCGGATGACAAGAACCACTTGTCGGTGCCCAGTCTCTCGGAGAGCGCCCCAATGGCCTCTCGGTAGCGCGACTGTATAACTTCGTGGGGGATACGGGTGCCAAAGGGCGGGATGAGGGATGTGAGGCCTGACAGTGGGGCCGGGGGCGGCGCAAGAATGGACTCGATTGGCCGGGATTTTGTTTCCACCAGGGAGAACGACGCCGACGTCGGTTGGACGAGGAGCAGTGCAGCGTGTATGCGTCCTTCCAACAACGCTACCCACGCCCGACTCTCGTCACGCGCCGCCTCATTTTTGTAGCCTTCCAGCCCGCCATCACTGTCAATGCTGACCTTAGTATCCACCCAAGCAGGCAACTCCCTCGCTGCCGTCAACTGCTTCCCATCCCACAAATTCGGAAGCTGCACGTCGACAGCTCCCTGAGGGTCAATATCGGTACGCACGCAAATGTGGTCGAGACCTCGCAGGGCAAGGTAGGCTTGCCATTTGAGGCACTCGACGTCGGAGCTAAGGACGCCGTCGGGCGAGTGTGGAGGATGGATCCATAGACAGGGTGTTGGATATGCGTCGTTTGGGACGGAGGAGGAATTGGAGGATAGGTGTAGAGAGGAAAGGGGGAAAGCAGTTTTTGGATGATGGGTGGGACTTGCATGGTACTTATTAGTGCGAGTTAAGTTGATTTGACTGGCTCATTGTGGCGGGACAATTATCTGTCTAAAACTTATTGGCGGGGGCATAGCTCAGTTGGGAGAGCAACAGACTGAAGCAAGTATTGTCTTCTGGAGGTCCCCAGTTCAATCCTGGGTGCCCCCATAGCTTTTTCGAGCACTTCCACCCCCCATTTAATGCACTCGATGCACTGTGCAGTACAAGTTAATATTGCTGAATCTCTGGAAAATAATGAGAATAATTTGCAGCTTTTTTGGTTGATCCATGCACGCCTACAGATGGCGAGCCCGACTCGACGTGACAGGTCAGTAGACTCAGTACCGCCTTGAAAATCCCGCCTTGGTACGAAGCCGTATACTTGATAGGTAATATATTACCTAATGATGCCGCTGGCCGGCATCCATTGCTATACGTCATCTGCCGGACAGTCATTGTACCACTTCTTCTCTTCCTTCTTCTTCTTCTCATATTTTCTACTCTTTCATGATGGCGGAGGAGATTCAAATAAACGTCAAAGGTCTCTCTCATATCCTCTCTGCTCTGTGTTTATGACGCTGATCTGCGCTGTGTGTTAGGACCGGGCGAAATCAAACTCCAGATAACGATCGCGACAGATAAAACGGTTCTCGAGCTGAAGCAAGCAGTCGCTGAGAAATCCAATGTAGAGGCAGAGCGGCAGAGGCTTATTTATTCCGGTATTAGTTTTCTCATTTTCGTGTAACAGCTTGCTGACAGAATGGTTAGGACGTGTCTTGAAGGTGGCGTCGTGTTCTTCTCTTGCAGGTCATCCGTGCTGACTGTCTTCAGGACGAGGATGTTCTTTCGACGTACAAAATAAGCACTGGGCATACGATTCACATGGTGAAAGGAGTGGCACGGGGGAATACGTCTTCGTCAGCGGCAACACCGCAGCCCCTTCCCACCATGCAAACGGGACAAAATCCTCACGATCCGCTTACGCTACTCAACAGTCACCTTGGATATGGTGCCATGGCGGGCATCAATCCCTTCGCTGATATGGGACTAAACCAGAATGACCCTAATATGGTGTGTAGCGCTCGCCACTGCATTCGTTTTGTCAGCAGTAATGATTACACAGCTCCAAACGATGATGAACTCACCCGAGTTCCTGCAACAAATGGCCGGGATGATGGCAAACCCTGCCGTTCTTGACCAAATCATCGCTTCTAATCCACAGTTACAAGCCATGGCTCCACAGGCCAGAGAGATGTTTCAGAGTGAAGGATTCCGCCAGATGATGTATGTTATCAATCTTTTGCTTTCTACTGCCCTGATAGTGACTTTTCATGTATAGTTCGGACCCGCAACGACTTCAACAAATGATGCAGATGGCGTCGATGCTTCAGGGCGGTGGATCGGGCGGAATGGGTGGAATGGGCGGCTTTGGAATGGGTGGAGGCGGAAGTAGCTTCCCTGCTCCTGGTGTGCCAGGTGGTGGTACACCTGCTACTGGGGCGGCGGCAGCCACGAGTCCTACGACAGGTGCAGCAGCAGCTGGAACGGGGACGACGCCACTACCAACAAATTTGTTCAATCCTTATGGCGGCATACCCCCTGCACCGACTCAGAACGCACGTCCGCCGTTTCCGCTCGACCCTGCGTTGACGCGGCAGCTTTTGTTGGGAGGTGGACTGCCTGGTGGACCTGGTGGTGGACTTGGTGTTGGACTAGGCGGATTTGGCGCCGCACCCACAGCGCCGACAGACACGAGATCGCCCGAAGAGCGGTTCCAGGTTCAACTGCAGGTACGTGTTCCTTTACTCGTCTTCGTTCACTTCTAATGCATACAATAGCAACTGCAAGATATGGGTTTTACAAATGCATCACAGAATGTTCGAGCTCTGTTGGCCACAGGCGGTAACGTGCACTCGGCGATTGAGTACATTCTTGGTGGTGGTGGGATATGAATGTAGAAGGCCAATGTCCTTGTAACCTTTTTAGCTGCATGTATTCATGTTTTTCTCAATGTACCACCGGGCTAATGCATAGTCAATTTACTGATGTAGAATGCGAGACTAACCTGTATTCTTGCACCATTTTCTTCTAAGATCTGTTATACCTACGCACCAGAATATTTTCTCAACAAGGGATCTTCCAGCAATCTTCCCATGACTTCCTCTTCTAAATGTAGCTGCAAATCAACTCCCGCGTCGCACCAGCGACCGTGTTCCCCGCTTTTATTCTGCACTTCCATAACCTGCAGCAACCCGTCCAATTTAGGCATCACTGCCTCAACGTATTGTGGACTTGCTCCCCTGAAACTGACCTCGTATACTCCAGTATGCACCCACGACGTGACCAAAACATGCCGGCACCCCAGAAATGCCTGCCACAACCTCTGTGGTGCCACTTCAAACTTCTTATCGTGCAAATGAGCCTTCAACGAATCAGTGGTAAACTGCGACAACGTATAGTGAATGCCTTGTGCTGTAGGCGTACGCACATCCGCAAGCATGATAGGTGACCCGATAAACCTGTCCGGGAGTTTTAACCGCGGCCGTAAACCAAATGTGAGATCCATGTGGACTTGATCTCCTTCCACAAGGCCACGGGCACGATTAATACACCTCCACACATGCGCCAAAACGGCCTCCATCTGTGTTCCACCTTCCATTTGTTTCACTTCATCTCGGGTGAAGTGAATAACATAGTGGGAGACGGGTGCTGAGATGTTCCATTGGCTCCAGGGCATTCGAGTCCCTCCCACATCGGGAGGAGGTTCAAATCCAGGGGGGATGACGGTTGCTTGGGAGGCAAATGGGCAATCTGAGCCAGAGATCCACCAGTCGTAACGGTTGCAAGGTAGCTTTCGCGCTTCCCTGACCAGAGCTTCATCAACTTCTGACCCTGTCGCATAAGCATCGAGAAGTTGAGGGTTGAAAACTGGGTTTGGAACAACGTGTTCAATGCACGCCCAGTCCCTAGCAAAATAGGCTAATGTCTGTGCATCGGAGAAAGGATGCGCCAGACGAATGCCAATGCCAATTCCTCCGCATGTGAACGTCGTGACTTGTACCAACATGGCTGGCCTCTCAGGATCAACGGGGGCTAACGGCATAGATGGGAGAAACTTGGCTGCAGGTAAACCAGAGGCATCCCATTCTTTGGGTCGCGGAGAAGGGATAAGGTCTGCGAGTCGCACATTGGTTCGCGCATCGACAAAGAGGACTCCTGGATCCGTGGCAGAACCAAATGTTAGAGCGAGTCGGTCGATCGTATGGGAGGGTGGAAGACGGTGAAGACGGCCGCACCACTGCGGATAAAAATCGAGGGTTTTTCTGAGCGTGCATCTAAGGGCTTCGGTGCTGAGGAGTGAAGGGGAGGCATCGTAGAACCACACGACTTCGCAGGGAGTGAAATTGCCTACTGTCGAATCTATGATGGAGAGAGGAACTGTGTGTTCTCCACCCGGGATACTGTGAGGGAACTCCTGGCTGGCGGAATAATTGAAAATGTCCACAAGCGCGGTGTTACTGACCATGATGATGAAACCGAAATATCAATATATCATCTTGTGCAAGCGAATTCGGACTGATCGTCGCAGGCTACCAGTCTCCCGCTGTAAGGTGAGTTGCCGGTTCATGTATATCATGACTATACGAGGCAAGCTATACTTTGAGCATGGGTGTCTTTAAACGTCGCAGGACGGTCTAACGTAAACGAAAAATAAACTGGTCAGTGGACATAAATTCCAAGTGTATGCCAAACGAGAAGCGGCTGAGAAAACGATGATGATTTGGAAGAGCTGTCAGCTTGCAAACCGATGAAAGTCAAGCACTTTGTGATAGAATAAATTGTTCTTCAATGTATGAAATGCTTGGCAGCATCGACTTTCCCAGGATTTACGCCAGGAAAAACATAAATATTTTCTAGTTGGGAAACCTCGAAGAATGAAGACAAAGCTTTTGGTAATTCTGGTGCGAATTAACGAGGTATCTGTACATTCGTGGAACTGTATTCGCTTGGAAGAGTTTCCGAGGTGTCACAGACTAATCTCGTGTCGACAGAGAGCCGGAAAGAAACGAAGTAGTAAAGGCTGATGCCTGTCTGAAACCCGGTGGTTTAGCAAGAATGACAGGCTCAGAATACATAACAGAGCTTGAAATGGAAGAAAGCGCCATCACCTTTGATAGAGGCTCACATTTAAGGAATACAGTCGGGTCGAAGGCGCAACAAACGAACCATACTGACCACTAAAGTCCATGTAGTGATTTTGAAATAGAAGCCACGTGTTGCGTATCTTTAACCTTATCACTTGGCACCCTCTTGGCATGATCACAAAAGGATATCACTATCTGTTCTAGCAGATATTGTCATTGGTGGGTCATTTTTTTCTACCATGTGCGCGTATGACTATCGGGCCTTACCACTTGCCTCAGAGCTTTATCAGTGCATGTTCTACATATCACGAGGACTTTCTGGCGGGTCGAGATCATAAGCATGTCCTTGTCAACGGACGTTTGCTCATGCGCGAATGGTCCGATGGCCTAACGATTTTTCTCTTCGAACGTTTACTCTGGAGATTTTGGGCCGGTCCGGCAGTTCTATTGCCGGAATAGTCTTCTTCGAACTACTTCTGGTCTTCGCTGCGTTGTGGCTGGCTTTCTACGACTCTAAACGATTCAATAGCCCCACGTTTCTCGTTCAACGACTCATAAATTGCTGTATCCGTCTCACGCGTTGTCGCCTTGCTGCGTACGGTAGAAGATAACCATCGTGGGCCTTGATTGTGCATCATCTAGTATACAAATCCTGCGCTTCCGCCTGCATGGCACCCGTTCTCGGTGCAATACATACACATGTGCAGGACCCTTTTGATGGTCAAAAGAAGCCACAAACAATATGGTGCTCGCGTCGCGACATGAAACTACTTTAGTCTTATCTCAGCGTGCTGCTCGACCTGCGCGTATAAAGGTCGGAAAAAAACGAGGAAAGCGTTCATCACCGGTCTACTAAGTTGTCAGTTGTAGCCATGTTCTCACTCTCCATTCGCTCCTTCTTGTACTCCCTCTGCCTCTCTGTGGTCGCTGTATCAGCCGCCCCAGGACTTTCTCTCTCACTCTCTGGTATTGCTTTCTATCAGCGTTTGTATACTATATTGTCCTGACGACCATCGTAGGTGC